ACTGGCTGGGGGAGGGGTAATGGCTTGTGTGGTGCCAGGGATGATCTGGATCTGGTTGGTGAGATTGGGCTGCACTTGGATGGTCTGGGAACTGCTCATCTGAATCTGAGAGACCACCTGGCACTGGATGTTGGCATTTAATCGGGTTCCTTTGTCCATCATGGTGGGATTCCGGATACCCAGCTGCCCTCCAGGATAGGAAGGGCTCAATTGTGAGCCCTGAATCTGAAGTATATTTCCCTTGGAGGACAAGATTCCAAAATTATTCTTGCTGAGACTGAGAGAGAGAGGAGCAGGCTCAAAAGGAGCAAGTGTCTCAGTGTAGGCTGAGGGAGAAGGGTTAGCAGGAGGCATCACAACAGCTTCAACAGTTGGAGGGCCAGTTTGGCTACATGTTGCAGCAAGCAGCACTAAGGGAGATGGCTGGGAGGCCTAGGTGGTGCAGGTGGCAGGCTGCAGGTTGTTCCTGGGGATTACACTGGCAGTGGCAGCCATGCTGGTCTGTGGATCTGCACTGAAAAGACATCTTTCTCCCTGGCCTCCATTGCCTCTGTGGCCACTGAGAGCCTCCTTAAATGTCCATATATTTTTTCCATCTGAGATTACATTAGTTTGATCTTAAGTGCTGATAAATTCTTTTGAAACTTTACAATTTAGCTAAGTCTCTGTGTCCAGAGCTCTATTTGATGAAGAATTTGCCCTTTGCTTTTAACTTGATCTTTGATTTGTTCCTATTTAGGATCACTAGGTAACAAATAAGGATGAATTTTAAACATCTTCAATTTTCTTAGATATAAAAATCTAATTCAAAGAAGATTTTTTGAAAAAAAATTTTTGAAAAAGTTTGGAGTGTTCAATTTTAGGTATAGTCTCATCTGGAGGCTCATGCTGGGATTCTATTTCTTTTTGTTTCTTGGCTCTTCTTTCATTGTGTTAGCTCCTTCCTCAGAGGTAGGGTCTCCTTTCTTGGTAGCAAGATAGCTGCTAGCAGCTTTAAGGTCCTGTGTTTTTGTTTTTTTTTTTTTTTTTGTTTGTTTGTTTTTGAGAGGTTTTTGCTATAGGGCATGTGTGCTTGCCAGAAAGACAGAGACAGCGAGATAAAAAGCGAGAAATCACCCCGCAGAGGAGGTAGCCACACCTCAATCCCTTCTCCTCCATTCTCCTCTCAGGATCTTGGGCATGCACGCACATGCTCCCAGTGAGAGTTCAAGCCACTGGGTCAGGGACTCAAGCCGCAGTTGACTACATGGGAGTCCAGCGACATAGCTATTACACTATTTGTTGGTCCAAGGTTCTGCTTTCGTTAATCTCTCCTCAACAAGAGAGGCTCCCATCCCACTCCAAGTCTCAATTTCAAGAAGTTCTCAATCATATCTGACAGGCTCTGATCATGCCATAGTCTATTCCAGCATGAATTTCTCTATCCATGGAGAAAAATATACAGATTGGTTGAGGCATGAAATTACAGGCCAACTCATGGGCAGTGGGCTGAGACAGCTCTGCATCAATTACTATTTGGGTGGAGTTATTCCCAAGAGTATTCAGGATCTCCTCATTGGAATAAGGCAAGTAGGTACTAGAGAGAGAAAACAGAATTAGCAAGGAGGAGGCCATGCACTGTTCTTAGCAGAAGAGGGATGGTATCATCCTTCCTGGTGAATACATTTCCATTTCTAACTAGAAGTCCAATACAGAGTTTTCATTGAAATGTTAAAAACAAAAAAGGAGCCACAGATTTCTTTTATACTTGGCTTTTGGAAGAGATGATGATACTAGTCAAAAAGGAGACAGAAGCAATAACTGTAGAAGCAGGCATGCACTTCTTGCTGGATGCTGTGAGGAGAAAAATAACAAACATTAGAGATTTTTTTAGGAGCATAGATTTTTAAACACTGCCTCACTTCTTCTTCTTTGAGTCATTTATTTAACTTAGAAAGTTCCTAATATAAACATTTGAAGTTACTGACTTTAAAAAAAAAGGTTTTCATTTAGATTTTTCTAACAGAACTCAAATTATTTTGCCAATGATGAAACAGGTACCAAGAAGTCAAGCGATCTACCTCAAGATCTATTTTCTGCCTTTGTCATCATTGGCAGCATTTTCACCATCTTAATTATCATCACATCCGTTACCATCATGAATCTAGCATTGAATACTCTTTGTAATATCTGTCTTGAGCCCTTGCTATGTATTATCTTAACCCCCACAACAAACCTCTGAGGTATTTATTTCCATTATTCTAATTTTTTTCCAGTTGGGCCTCTCCTTTGAATTCCAGACTCATACATCCCACCGTCCACTTAACATCTCTATCTGAGTGGTTATTTCACCTCTCAAATGTAACATACCTAATAAACTCCTCTTTATATCCAAATCTACTCCACCCACAAGCTGCTGTTTCTTAGTTAATGCCAACTCCATTCCTTTTAGTTACTCAAGTCAAAACCTTGGAGTCATCCTTCACTCCTCTTTATCTTCTGTCTTCTTATACATCAGGAAATCCTCTTGGCTGTAATCAACACAGTGCATTCTGAATCTGATCAGATCTTATTATGCCCACTTTCCATCTCCATCTCTCAGCTGGATTACCGAACTAGCCTCTTAACTCCTTTTTCTGTTTGAACCTTCCCTCATTACAGTCTATTTTGCCTGAACTGTTAGATCAATTGTACTAAAGTATAAGTAAAATCTTCTATGTTCTCTGCCTAAAACCTTTCAGTGGTGTCCCACGTAACTAAGAGGAAGAGCTACTATGTTTACAACTGCCATTAAGGCCCAACTTGATTAAATTCTGTCTTATCTCTCTGTCTTCCCTGTGCAATACTTTTCTTCTCACTCATCCCTATAAACAGCTCTTGTTGCTCCTGACTGAGGGCCAACTGTTGACTCTTGCTGTTCCTGCATTCTGCAATGTTCTTTCCTTTAGTATTTATATGACTAGCTCGTTCATCTCTTTCAATCTTTTCTCAAATGTCACCTTCTAGTGAAGTTTTTGCTGCTCACCCAGTTTGATATCGGAACTCCGTCGTGGCATTCTCCATCCCCTTGTTCTGCTTTATTTTTCTCCATACTACCTATCTTCCACTATCATACTACATAATTTACTTATTTACTTAGATGGTTGTCTGCCTCACCTCACTAGAGTATAAGTTCTATGAGGGCAGAGATTTTCATCTCCTATGATGTTCAAATAAGAGATAAATATATAGATATTACTACATTGTAATCATACCTATCCTATAAAAACCAACTGTTAAGCCTCCTTCATAACAATTAGGATGTTAAAAATAGCTTATTTTCATTTTACGCTTCCAGGTTAAAGTAACTCTTCCTTCTTAACTCTCTTGATATTTTTTTCTATATCTCTTTTGTGCCATTAATGTTTATATCTTATTATTATATGAAAAATATATTTAGGAGAATAAATGAGAAAATCTATGAAATTACAATCCCAAACTCTTTTATGTGATGATCTCACATTATTTTTACTTTTGTATTTGTCTCTAGTTTTCTTTGAGGCCATCTATCCAGAGTTTCTTATTTTCTTTTTATCTTGTTATGTATTTTTCAGATTGGAGGTTGTGATCCTTAATGGGTTATGACATCAGTTTAGTAGATTAGATCATGACTATCACTGTTTAATAATATAATAAAATAGGTGACAATAGAAAACACTAGTGTTATACCATATGTAAAAATGTTCTGGTCACATGTGCATATATGTATGTATTTTCATGTATATGGGCATGCAAACACATAAAATAGACAATCATAGCCAAGAAGCTTGAAACTAATGTTTCTTTCTTTTTTTTTTTTTTTTTTTTTTTTTTAGTTTTTTTTTGTGGGGCATGTGTGCTCATAAAAGATTTTTTTAGATTTTTGTTGTAGGGCATGTGTGCTCATCAAAGAGACAGAGGGAGAGAAAGTGAGAAATCATCCCCCAGGGGTGATGGCCATGCTCCAATCCCCCTTCCTCCACTCTCCTCTCAGGATCCTGGGCATGTACACACATATACCCGGTGTGAGTTTTAAGTCACTGGATCTGGGACTTGAACCTCAGTCCACCACGTGGGAGTCCAGCGATGTAACCAGTATGCCATCTGCTGGTCCTAAAACTAATGTTTCTCAATAAGATTTGTTGAAGGAAAAATGAACCTCTTGAAACCAATCTGTAAAGAAAATTATCCTGGACTTTTTGTTAGAAAAGAGTCCTACTTTTGCCATTTGTAAACTGTATAAATAACCTTAAACTACTTAACTTCTCTGAACCTTGGTTTTCATATTAGTACAGTGGGGTCAATAACTCAATTTACAGGATAGCTGTGAAAATTAAACAAATATTTGGTATGAAAGCATTTTGTAAACTTAATTGCTATACCAACTTCTCTTTTTTCTTTTCTTTTTTCTTTTTTCTTTTTTTTCTTTCTTTCTTTTTCTATCTCTTTCTTCTTTCTTCTTCTTTTTCTTTAGGTTTATGCCATAGGGGATGTGTGCTCACCAGAGACAGAGGGAAAGTGAGAAATCACCCCCCAACCCCCCAGAGGGAATGGCCACACCACAATCTCTTCTACTCTATTCTCTTTTCAGGATTTTGGGCTTGCACACAGATGTGCCTGGAGAGATTTTTCAAACCTACGACTCTAGGACTCAAACCCCAGTTGCACATGTGGGAATCCAGTGCCTTAACCACTACACCATCTGCTGGCCCCCAATATCATTTTACTGGTGTATTATAACCTAACTTTAGTCATTGCCTCTAGAGTCTGGGACGAGTAATTATTATAACTTTTATTTCATGAAGTCTGAATTATATCAGACTATTTGGAAAAAAATATTCAATCTCTTGAAAAACAGAAGTAAAACTGACATGTAGTATATGTAGTTAATCTAGTGTTGGAGCAAATGCTATCTAGAGCTTCTTTCTGTCAAAAAAACAGTGTGATTATAGTGAGTAATGGATAACAAGCACAAATCATTTTGAATATTACCTAGCAAAACATTGGCACTCAAAAAATAGCAGGCACTATTACTTCAGTCTCCCTTTGTTTCTCCTCATATTGTCAATCTCACTGAAACACACTTTCGTGCCAAGAAATTGTCATCCCACTTCCATCTGCAAAGTACTTTTTCAGAGTGTTTCAGTTGTGTTTGAGAGGGTTAATGTTTACTAAGTGCTGTCACTATATTCCCACAAGACAAATATTGCTTCCATTTTATAAATGAAGAAATAGGCTCAAGGTCCAGTCATTTCCACACGACTACATAACCACTAACACATGTCCAAATCTTTCTGGCTCCAAAATCGATTTCATTTTCATCATGCCTTTCATTTTTTTCTTTTTTCTTTTTTTTTGCTACCGGGCACGTGTGCTCAGCAGAAAGACAGAGACATAGAGACAGAAAGTGAGAAATCACCCATGGGGAGATGGCCATGCTGCAATCCCTTCTCCTCCATTCTCCTCTCAGGATCTTGGGCATGCACACACACACGCCTGGCATGAGTTTAAGCCTTAGGGTCCGGGACTCGAACCGTGGTCTACTACATGGGAGTCCAGCGACATAACCATTACACTAACTGCTGGTCCCATGCCTTTTATTTTTAATGACTCATTCTTTCATCCATTCATCTGACATACTCAATTTCATTTTTTAAGAAGTTTTTTTTTCTGCCTTAGGGTACATGCACTTGGTGGGGTGGGGAAGAGAGAGAGAGAGAGAGAGAGAGAGAGAGAGAGAGAGAGGAAAAGTGAGAAATAATCCCCCGGGGGGGATGGTCACACTGCAATCTCTTCTCCATTCTCATCCTGAGATCTTGGGCATGTATGCATATGTGCCCGATGTGATTTTGAAGCCACAGGATTCAAACCACTGTTGGTCATGTGGGAATCCAGCAACATAACCACTACGCTATATGCAGGTCCCGGCAGACTCTATTTCAAAATTAGTGTGATGCCACAAATAGAGAAAATTAATTTTAGATAATTGAAGCCCAGAGTATAAGAAAGAAGAAAGGAAGGAAGGAAGAAAGAGAAAGAAAGAATGAACAAAAGAAGAAGCTTATAAAATAAATAATAATAATAATGGTAATAGTGGGGGCCAGCAGGTGGTGTGTGGCTAAGGTGCTGGACTCCCACATGGCTGACAGCAATTCGAGTCCCAGACCTGGCAGGTTGCTTTCTCACTTTCCCTCTCTCTCTCTCTGGTCAAACCAAAAAATAATAATAAAGTAATTCTTTTAAAAAATAACAGTAATAGTAATATAACTAAAACATTTGTTCTTACTTACATGTGCCAGATACTGTTCTAAGAAGTGTTTGATACAGTAATTCATTTTCTCTTCGTTAGAATCTTATATGGCAAGCTTTAAAAACTTCCTATTTTATGAATTAAGAAAAGTGAGGCATACAAGAAGACTAAGCCATTTGCCCATGTTATCACTGCTAGTAACTGTCAAAGTTTACATGTAAAACCAGGCTTATTACAAACAATTGGCTATATTTTTCTACAAACACGTTAAGAATTTTGATTATGTAAAACATTTTAACAAATCCCTCTTTCTTTATGAATTCAATGATACAGAACAGAGCATGTATTTGTGTGTCTACAAATTTTGGCACAGACTATTTTGCTGAGAGAAGCAACATTTAAGGGCAAATAACTCATTAACATTTTGTTAACATATTTTGAGTCTTCCAATGGGCATGAAAACATCTGTTTCTATGGAAAAAATTTAGGTCATATAAAGGGTTATGGAAGAATTGGAAGGGAAAAGCTGCTAGTTTACAATGACTTAATCTTTATTTTGCAGATTTATTCCCTTAAAGGTCTTATT